GATAACATCTTCGCCACTTTGGCCACGGCAGCCATCTTTGATTTTGGAAGTTTGAAAATCTGACCGAAAATTCGAGTTTCCCATAAAAAAAATACCCCCCGGTACCGAGTTTCACGAGCACCGGATCAAAAATAAAGGAGAAAGAAAAAAGAGAGGAAGTCAAAGAAAACTTACGACCAGTGAGGCGAATGACCCGTAAACATACACATTACTCCATATAAAGCTGCTGTTGCCACTCACTCTGCCCCCACCCCCCACCTCCCAGAGAAAAATTGGCCGAAGCAATTTCCTTTGAACTTAGTACACGCTTAGCTATTGTCGTGAGGAGTTGATCAAAATTATTCCGATTAGAAAACGTTGCCCAGGAAGCCCGCAAGAGGGAATAGTTGTTCCTCCCTATAGTAATGCATTGGGGATACGCGGTTATTTACACGCACCACACCGAACAGGCTCAATCGTGTCGCGTGACGTCACAGCATTTTAGACAAAATTTCAGGTATCAGGGGGTATTTTTCGACGGATTTTTGTGTAAATTGGTATCACGATGTACATTTCAGCAAGAAATTCGAACTTTTGGTCAGATTCTGAAAGTGTCAAAATCCAACATGGCGGCCGTGGTCTAAAATGCTGTATCGGCTCCTGTTCGATCGATTTTCGTGAAACTCTGTAACAAGTGGTATTTTCTGATGGGAAACTCGAATTTTTGGTCAGAATTTTTAAAATTCTAAAATCCAAGATGGCGGCCGTGACCAAGGTGGCGGAGATGTTTTATTCTCATTATTATTATTATTATTTAAAAGATAATAGCTATGAGGGGCGGCTCGCGGAGCTAGCCGAAAGTTCATCGCGAAGCGAGGAACCTGGGGTCCAGGGGCACTCCCCGGCTAGGCGTGATAGCTCGCCACAGCGAGCTGATCACGGCTAGTATTTTATATAATTTGCCAAAGGTAATTGCGGAGATGATGGGTTTCTTATATTTTATTCCTAATCTTTCAGGAAATGGATACATCCATGTCTAGTTTAAGTCTTGACGACCTCGAACGATTTGCTGTAACTTATGGCAGTGAAGAAAAGCTGACCACTTGATCCAAGGATACTTTTTGACAGCCTAAAGCATAAGCTTAATGTTAACAATTTTTTATCAATTATCATCATGTACAGTTGTAAAATAGTTATTCATATATAATTTTAGAATATCTGATATTCCATGTACACTATAGACTTATTTTTTTTATTTCTCTTTCTATCTCTATGCTCATATGATTTGCTCATGTGTTCGTAAATCTTCGGTACTGAAGTGGTTGTGGCTGATTAGCCTGACAGCTACTCATCTTTGTTTTATTTGTTTGTTTTAGTTACTAAATAAACGTAAACTTTTCCCAATTTTTACTTCTTTGTTTAATTTGCTCTTTCCTGACAACCAGAAAATGACGTCCAAAAAATTATTTAATCTTGACCATTTGACTACTCATTTGGTTTATTTGGATTAATTTATGGCGTCCGCCATTTTTGGGTCCTAAGGGCTCCATTCAGCCTAAAATGGCTGAGCCAATCAGAGGTGGTAACCCCAGTGGCCATACTCTCTCAATATAGGTAGGTACTCTAGGTTTTCCATTAGTGCTCGAAATTTTTGACTCCAATTGAAAATTTTGGATTTTTCTGGTTTGTTTTCTAAATAGTGTGGACCCAGCACTATTTTGCCACCTTTTTACACAGTTCGGGTCACGTTTTAAAGGGTTTTTTCTCTTTTTTTCGTGACTCTTAGGAAAATGGTCGAAAAAATCACATTTTAAGGGCGGAGCTAATAAACTGCTGTTTCATTGGATTAAATCAAGTTTAGGAACTATTGACATGTCGACTGTTGTGAGTGTTTTCTAGAAGTAAATTTTACGCTCTTCTCAATGAGCATTTATAACAGTTTTTTCTCAGACAATCGTGGCTGGAGGTATGAAGCAATGATTTTCCTAAAATCAGCAAAAATGCGCCTTTAAACTAATTTTTGAAGAAAACGTTACTTTTACGACCAAAAAATTAAGTTAGAAAAAACAAAGAAGGATGATTTCGGTAGGGAATTGTATGCTCTTTTCGCTGGTTTCTTGTTTTTTTCGTGAGATGAACTGTTGAGGAGATATTTGCAAAAATCTAATCGTGGGTTTTCTCAATTTTGAAAAATTCAAAATGGCGGCGCCCTGCGGAGACCAGCCAATTTTTCTGAAGTTAATATGGCCATTTTTGGACGTCTTTAGCACATAGGAATCGAAAAACATTGGTTTGGTTCGAAGGACAAACCAAAACCCGAAATTTATTGTGCTGTGTTATTTATAATGTTTCTTTTTGCCGATGATATGCTTTTTGTAGTTAGCAATAAGGATCTATCAAGATTAGGGATGGATTTTTTATTCTGAACGTTTTCTGACAATGGGCTAATTTGAATTTCTTCCAGTTTAATGTAGACAAAACCAAATACATGCTTTTGAGTACCAAAAATATTGTAGGTTCCTTCAACATCTTGATTGACAACCAAGAAATTGAGCTGGTCTCCATATTAAAATACTTAGGTATTCTTTTGGACAATAAGCAAAATGATAACGCATATAAACAGCATCTGCAGCGAGTTACACTCTGCCATATTTGTAGTTAAAGTCCTCTCTAAATATTGTGATATTAGTATACTTATGTTGGTTTACCACATACACTCCCTATTCCTGTCCCACATTAACTATTGCGTAACTATTTGGTCTAACTGTAAAAACGCTCTCCTTAAGAAGTCTTCATCATCCAAAAGAAGGCTTTAAGAACCATGTTAAAGCTAGCGCCAAGAGAGTCCTGCAAAAATCATTTCATTGATCTTAAAATTCTGTTGCCGTTCCCTCCCTCGTAATTTACAGGTCCATTTCGAATTTTATAGTTGAAACCTCTTTAGCTCCAGTGGCTCTCAGTAAAATCAACACTAAATTCCACGCCTTTACAAATGCCACCAAGAACAGTCACTCTCTAAGGCGTGGCCAAATCCTTTTAGAAAAGCTACCCTCAGAACTAAAAAGTAAATACAGGGACTCGAATTTTCTTAATCTTTGAAAAAAATTGTTTATTGCCAAATGTTTTTATAGTGAAGCAGAGTATTTAGCATAAGCCCTTTTTTAAAAAATCTGTATTCTCTTTTCCTTTCTTCTCTTTTCTTTCTTCTATCCTCACTAACCCAGACATATCGACGGTGTAAGTCGGCAATCACATAACTCGGTTTGCGACGTCACAGACTTCCTGTCATACTTTATTTTTTAAATGGAAAACTACTCAACGGCAATTCTTTAAAACTGTCATGATTTTTCTTCGCAATGCAAAGAAAATTCTGCAAAAACTTCAAGAAATAATGTCAATTAGCTTTCCTTTAAAAAAATGACGTAGAGGCGGAGATTTTCAGACACCGCGAACGAGTTATGTGATTGCCGACTTACACCGTCGATATTTGTTCTAGCTGTTGAAAAATGTGCATTTACAAATAAAAATATATTATTATTGTTATTTACTAACGCAAATTGCTCTTTTGCCTCAAAATTGGGGTTGGTAACGTGTAACCGACCGGCCATTTTCGGCCCTCAAGTCTTATATTATTAAAGTCAATCATAATTTACCATACTTTTTAGCATGGATAAGTTCAGGGATATCATTCATATTAATTTATCGACTTGATTTTCAATCGTTTTGCCTTAAGTCTATTACGATTATCCTTTTTATCATGAAATCGCCCTTAGCATTTCACGAAATCATCAAGTTTCATTTTTGGAGGAAAAACAACAAAAAATGCAAAAATAGGCGTCATTTGAAAGTCACAGTAACTATGACTGGTGATCCTCAAATTACAATGACTTTTCGTGATTGCAATCACGGTACCATCTCTATGCACAATGACTGACCTGTGTAGATTGGTTTTGGTCTTCATTAACGCTACCAATAAAATCTTACAATGAATGTCCATCACACAAATGCAGACCAGTAATTTGGGCATGAATCTATCTTTGAGAAATAAAGAACCATTTGCTGTGCCAACAATATATTTTTGTTTGAAGTTGAGACTTTATTTACTGGTATATTGAAGAAACAAACAACAAAAACAATAACACTGTTAAGATTGGTGCTTTGGCATTTGTTATATGGGTTCATTGTTCCATTCATTCAATCATAAACAGCAGTTGACGTTTTATTTGCAAGTAATAATGCATTGATTTGAATACACTATCCTGTAGTTTTCTGAAAGAAGCGTTTAATAGCGGGGTCAAAGTCATTCTTACATGAATTAGCTAGCTTTTACCTACTTTTGAGGGCGTTTTAATGTTGATAATGATCCCTTCGAAATTGGATCTTCTTCATCTTTCATTAAAAAAAATCTGGCCAACAAACAAAAAACTTTCCTTGAGTTAGGGACTTTGATACCCAAATTTAAAAGATATGCAACACAAAGTGACAGTAACACTTGCTTCCTGAAGAAAATGATTACCTCCGCAAAATTCTATGAACTAATACTGGTCACTGTATTCCCTTTGATTTTCAGTTTTGTGGGAGGAGGCTTCACAGGCCTCAGATATGGATTATCTATCATATCTGCTTCAGCTTTTGCTCTTTCCTCTTCCTCTTGCTCTGCTTCTTCTTCCGATTGTTCTGTGCCTTTCATTTCTTTTTTCTTTCTTGGTGCTAGAGGTTTGGCATTTTCTTCTTCATCAAAGTCAAACACTTGATCTTTGGGCAGTAATGCGCTAAGATATGGTGGAAATGACAGCTTACATGCTATCAAAAGGAATGGATCATTTTCTTGCTTTGGAAATAAACTGTCTGTTTCACCAGTTTTGGAAACAAACTTTGTTAGGGCTTTTTCAAGGCTTCGTTTTTGACTAGCTGCTTTCTCCCGGATGGCCTCATATTCTGTGACAGGTTGCTTATGAGTTGGTGTTCTGATATAGGCATGCGGGTCTGGAAATTGAGGAAAATGTGATGGAATATATGAAGGCAGTGCTTGCTTCATGCCAGCTTGTAAAATACTCAGTTGTTTTGGTTGCACAGAAGGTGCAAGGGGGGCAAGGATAGTCCTGTTGAGTCTTTTAGCATGAGTTTCAATGCCTTTCAGGCTTATCCCCATGCTGACTAATGCCATAATTACATCAGCTAGTAGAGGTCTTGCCCTGCTTGCTAATTCGTGGTAAGAGCGTGCACTTTGTCCTAGTTCGTGGAGAAAACTTTGCAAAATTACCACCAACGATTCCAAAGCTGAAGGATCCGATGCTTCAAAACCAGCTTCCATCAGGAGTGCGGAGATACATGTTTTCAAAACTGACCGTTGAGTGGAGGTGTACTGTGACATGTTTAAGGAAATGTGTTCAAATGCGCAAGGCTAACACACTAGACTATTGGAGTAAAAAGTTTCAAGTTCAAATCACCATACTCAAAGTAGAAACTAGAGTCAGACTATCCGGTAGGCACATCACTTCTACACATCTTCGAAAAATAAGAGAAGTTGAATGTACTGAAGATGCTTATTTCACATCATGAAATTCACATTGTTTACACTGGCGACAGAAAACTTCGAGCAGAGGCCACAGGATCAGGATCAGGAATTGCACAGGGCCCTGTGCGCACCTGGTACGCAGTACGCACGGTCGGACCGCAACAAGGCGGATAAAGAACGGAAAAGAAAGTTGTGTAGTGTAAACCAAACAGACAAAGTGTAAACATATTAACGAGGAAGATAAAAATCAGAAACAAACATCTCATCCAAAGACTAACTAACACGAGAGAGAGAGACCCTCCACTCTATCTCAGCTATTAATTGTGGAAGACTTTTGGGAATTCGGGACTTCAACAATTGACTGTTGACTTAACTTTATGGTTGATGTTTAAGAACGTGTTGGCAGTTTCCTTTTGCAAGCAAGTAGAGTCCCTTTATAGTAGCTATGTTTATGCGAGCCTCTTAACCTAACTTCAATCGAAACCTGAGTTTGAAACCAAGGTTTAAATCACGGCATAAACGATACGGAACTAACGAAATGTAGGTTTCCGAAATTTGTGTTTGAAACCTTATTTTACACTAAAGACTAGGTTTTCGCACTCCGCATAAACGAACCGGAGGTTGAAATTAGTTGAAATTCGACTTCAAATGCGATTTTCAGGTGCGCGATCGGCAATATGGCGGATTTATTAT